CGCTGGAGCTGGAGGCGCTGGAGGTACTGGAGCTGGAGGTCCTAGGGCTGCTTGTACTGGAGGTACTTGAGCTAGATGTACTGGAGCTGGAGGTACTGGAGCTGGAGGTACTGGAGGTACTGGTGTTGCTGGTCCTGGAGGTACTAGTGCTGGAGGTACTGGAGCTAGTAGGGCGGCTGGTGCTGGAGGCGCTGGAGCTGTTGACCCTGGAGCTGGAGGTGCTGAGACTGGAGGCACTCGAGTTGGCGATACTGGTGCTAGAGGCACTGCACAGCAGCGACCGTTTTTCTTGCCGCCGCCGCAGCTGTCACTGCCACCACCTACCTCGGTGCTCCGCCAGGTTCTTAGTCTTCCTTCGTCCACTGCCCTTCCTCCAGACTCACCGCTGCCTGCCCCCCCTCGTTACACTGAGCAGCCAATCTCCCTTACGGAGCGTCGTGAGCCTGTGTCTCGTCCGGCCTCACCAGTTCGCACTGTTCGCCGTGCTCGTCGTGTTCCCCGTCCTCGTCCTCCACCTGTCCCCGGCACGCACACTATGGCACTTCATCCTTCCTCTGTTCCACAGCGTGTCCCCCTGCCGTCTCCTCCTGGGTCCTCTCTTCCTACCGTTCCTGACCCTGAGTCTGACCGGGTTCGTGCTGCCAACCCTACTAACCCTTCTTTTGAGTCCACAGCTGCGTCTGCCTTAGTTGCTGAGCTTGTTGACTTTGCTGCTGCCTGTCGTCTAGACTACACCGCTAGTCTTGTTGCTGAGTCTGAGTTTGTCTGTCCTCCGTCCGTCGGGGGTGAGTGTGCTCTTGGCACGGACGTCCTTGAGGACAGGCAGGAGGACTTTGAGTGTCTTGCAGCCACTTTACCTCATCTCGTGGCCATGCTGCTTGCACCTGAGGGAGACCCGGATGCACTGGACATCCCGACCCCGCGCTCTTACGCAGAGGCGATCACGGGTCCCTACTCCTCCCAGTGGCAGACAGCCATGGACGCAGAGATGGCATCCTTGAAGTCCACAGGCACTTACGTCGATGAGGTTCCCCCTCCTAGGGCGAACATCGTCGACGGCATGTGGATTTTCAGGGTGAAGCGGCCGCCGGGTTCTTCGCCTGTCTTCAAGGCTCGTTACGTTGCACGAGGCTTTAGTCAGCGTCAGGGAGTTGACTTCTTCCAGACCTTCTCCCCTACCCCGAAGATGACCACTCTTCAGGTGTTGCTGCACATTGCCGCTCAGCGTGACTACGAGCTTCACTCTCTTGACTTCAGCACACCTTCTTTCAGGGCAGCCTGCACGAGGAGATCTGGCTGCGCCGCCCACCTGGCTTCACTGGGTCGTTTCCTGAGGGTACCTAGTGGAGCCTCCGGCGGCCAGTCTACGGTCTCCGCCAGGCGCCGCGTGAGTGGCACGACACACTGAGGACGACACTTGCGGCTCTTGGGTTTGCTCCTTCGACTGTTGACCCGTCGCTGTTTCTGCGCACCGACACTTCGCTGCCGCTGTTCTACATCCTCGTGTACGTCGACGACTTGGACTTTGCCACTGCTGACACTGAGGCTCTCGCCCTGGTGAAGTCGGAGCTGCAGAAGAGACACACGTGCACTGACCTGGGTGAGCTGCGCAGCTACCTTGGCTTGCAGATTACCCGGGACAGAGCACGCCGCACCATCACACTGACTCAGTCACACATGGTGCAGCAGGTCCTTCAGCGCTTCGGCTTCACCTGGTCCTCCCCACAGTCCACTCCTCTGGCTATAGGTCACTCGCTCTCAGCTCCACCTTCGGACGAGTCCGTAGAGCTGAGTGGTCCTTACCCAGAGCTAGTGGGCTGCCTCATGTACCTGATGACCTGCACTCGACCTGACCTTGCGTACCCTCTTGGCCTTTTGGCTCGCTACGTGGCTCCTGGTAGGCACCGAAAGGTGCACTGGGATGCTGCAAAGAGGGTACTGCGCTACCTGTGCAGTACATCAGGCATGGGGCTCGTGCTTGGAGGACGGGGTGACGTTGTCCTCACTGGACACTCTGACGCGTCTTGGGTTGACGACCAGGCTACGCAGCGGTCGTCACAGGGTTACACCTTCAGTCTTGGCTCTGGCTCTGTTTCTTGGCGGTCTACACGCTCGTCTTCTGTTCTCAGCTCCAGTTGTGAGGCTGAGATCTACGCCACAGCCATGGCTGCACAGGAGTTACGCTGGCTCACCTACCTGCTGACTGACTTGGGAGAGCGGCCTCGTTCTCCTCCAGTTCTGTACGTTGACAACAAGGCCGCCATTGCCTTGTGTCAAGAGCACAGACTGGAGCACAGAACGAAGCACATCGCTCTGCGTTACTTTCTGGCTCGAGAGTTGCAGCAGCGAGGTCAGCTTCGTCTTGCTCACATGGCCACTCGGGCCAACACTGCTGATATATTCACCAAGGCACTTCCGTCTGGTGATCATCAGCGCTTCTGTACCTTGTTAGGCCTTGTACCTACGTTTCCACACTTGCTGTAGGCTTTGCTTGTACTGTGATCTATATACATATACCTGCATGCTTGCTCTTGCTAGGTGGTGATCACTGTGCTGTGTCTGTTGCATATATACCTCTGCATGTGGACTGGCCTTGTGGCCCTTTGCTTGTGCTTAGTGTGTGTGGTGTGTTAAATTGTAATGTGTTATATGTTGGTAGGCTGTAGTGGGGTAGCCAATATGGGGTACAACCCCAACTAGGGTTTGCTACTTGTACCCAACTGTTCCATTCAATGCATTCATTCTTGCCTAGTGATTCTAACATGGTATTCAGAGCAGGAGGTCCCTAGGACCTACCGACCGTTTTTTTTTTTAAGGGCCCACCACCGCTCGCATGCGGTTACTACGCTACCCCGTGCCCTAGCCTCGTAGCGCCCTCGTGCGCCCTCGTTAGCGCCCTCGTGCGCCCTCGTTAGTGCCCTCGTGCGCCCCTCGTTAGCGCCCTCGCGCGCCCTCGCTAGCGCCCTCGCGCGCCCTTGTTAGCGCCCTCGTGCGCCCCTCGTTAGCGCCCTCGCGCGCCCCTCGCAGCGTCGCCCGCCCGCCGAGCCGCCCGCTTGCAGCGTCGCCCGCCCGCCCGCTGCCCGCTTGCTGCGTCGCTCGCCCACCTGCTGCTCGCTCGCGGCGTCGTCCGCCCGCCTCACTGCCCGCTCGCAGCGTCGCCCGCCCGCCCGCTGCCCGCTTGCAGCGTCGCCCGCCCGCCCGCTGCCCGCTTCGCAGCCCGCCCGCCGCGCTGCCCGCTCGCAGCGTCGCCCGCCCGCCCGCTGCCCGCTTGCAGCGTCGCCCGCCCGCTGCCCGCTCGCGACGTCGCCCGCCCGCCTCGCTGCCCGCTTGCAGCGTCGCCCGCCCGCCCGCTGCCCGCTTCGCAGCCCGCCCGCCGCGCTGCCCGCTCGCAGCGTCGCCCGCCCGCCCGGCTGCCCGCTTGCAGCGTGCCCGCCGCGCTGCCCGCTCGCAGCGTCGCCCGCCCGCCCGCTGCCCGCTTCGCAGCCCGCCCGCCGCGCTGCCCGCTCGCCGCGTCGCCCGCCCGCCCCGCTGCCCGCTTCGCAGCCCGCCCGCCGCACTTCCTCCCTGCTGCGCCGCCTGCCCACCGCGCTGCCCGCTTCGTAGCCCCCCCCCCCCCCCCCCCCCCCCCCCCCCCCCGCACTGCCCGCCCGCCGCGCTTCCCGCCGAGCTACCTACCTGCAGTGCTGCGGCAGCTTCCTTAGCTCCGTCGCGCTGTCGCTATGGCTTCCATCCGCGTGCTGTCGTTCGATGCTGAGGGCCGCCCTGTGAAGTTCGCCACTTGGCTGGATGACCTGCAGCTGTTCCTCCTGAGCGATAGCAAGGAGCATGTGTCGCTCTATGATTACGCGTCTGGTGCTGCACCTGCCCCTCCTGCCACAGCTGAGCTTAGTGTTCGTTCCCACTGGCAGACTCGTGACGCAGCTGCTCGCCTAGCCATTCGCAGTCACCTGCCGTTAGCTGAGCTCGAGCATTTTGGCGACTGCAAAACCGCTAAGGCCCTGTACGACGCTGTCGTTGCCCGCTATTCCTCACCTGCCACAGCCGAGCTTAGCCGCCTTATGCTGCCTTACCTGTTCCCTGAGCTGTCCACCTTTGCTACCGTCGCAGATCTTATCACCCACCTTCGCACTAGTGACGCTCGCCTGCGTGCCGCCCTTCCCACCGAGTTCTGCGCTAAGAACCCCCCTCCACTGTACTGGACACTCCACTTTATAGTCACCCGTCTCCCTGACACCCTTAGCTCAGTGCGCGACCATTTCCTTGCTCGCTGTCCCACTGAGCTCACTGTCGCCCTCCTAGAGGAGAAACTGCTAGCAGCCGAGAAGAGCATTGTAGCTGTAGGTGCTGCTCGTGGCGCTCCTCGCACCCCCATCTTTGAGGGGTGTTCTCCCTCTCCCCTCGCTCCCTCCTACGCTACTGCTGCTGCTGTTGACTTCCTTGGTGCTGAGTCTGCTGGCGCTGCTTCTGCTCCTGGTGGGAGGCGCCGCACCGGCAAGGGCAAGGGGGGCAAGGGTGGCGGGGGTGGCGCTGGGGGGGGAGGAGGTGGGGGAGGTGGGGGGGGAGGCGGTGCTGGAGGGAGCGGTGGCGGGAGCGCTGGTGGGAGTGGGGTCGGCGGTGGCGGCGGCGGTGGTGGCGGCGGTGGCGGTGGTGGCGGTGGTGGCGGTGGCGGCGGTGGCGGCGGTGGCGGTGGTGGCGGTGGTGGCGGTGGCGGTCGGAGCGGTGGTAGTGGTGGCGGCGGAGGTCGGAGTGGAGGCACTGGCTCGGGCCAGAGCTCCCAGCAGCAGCAGCGTCCCCAGACGACCCAGCAGCTTCGTGAGTGGCTTGCTCAGCGTGGGACGTCGGGGGGCAGTGGCCGCTGTTCCTATGTCATTCGCACAGGTGATCGCAAGGGACAGACGTGTGGGAGGTTTCACACCCCGTACCGCTGCTTCTCCCGCCTTGACGACGCTTGGCGTGAGGAGATGGGCGAGGATGTTGAGCGCCCCCGCTGGGCTGAGCTCATGCTTAGGTCTGGTGTTGATATCTTTGCTCTTGACTATGATGCTATTATTGCTGCCATGTATGCATTGACTGTTAGTGCCGAGGGAGACTGTTACTTGTGTGTGCCGCCTGACCCAGGTATAGAGCCCGCTGCCCTGGGTACTAGTGAGTCTGCTCTCTCAGGTACAGCACCCACAGAGACTGCTCTCTCAGGTACCGCACCGGCTGAGGCCTGTCACACCTTCACCCTTGACTCAGGTGCTTCCCGCTGTTTCTTTCGTGACCGTACTGAGCTCACACCGCTTCCTGCACCGGTCCCAGTCTCCTTGGCTGACCCCTCTGGGGGCCCAGTCCTTGCCCAGTCCACCACTGTGCTCCCTTGTCCGGCGGTTCCGTCTGGCTCGTTGTCGGGTTTCCACCTCCCCTCGTTCTCGACGAACCTGGTGAGCAACGCTGTCATCCAGGATCAGTGGGTTGACACCTTTACCCCTGGAGGACAGCGTGTGGCGATCTGCACGTGCTCCAGGACCGGCCGTCACCTGGCTACGTTTACCCGTCGGCCGGGGTCGAGTCTCTACACACTGACCACTGCGTCTCCTCAGGTCGCTGCTGTCGGTCAGGTGTCCGCGTCAGGTCTGGTGGCCCACGCCTGTGAGTGTCGTTCCCTGTCGCACCAGACTCTTCTCTGGCACCACCGCCTGGGTCACCCCTCCTTGCCACGCCTCCGTGGCATGCACCGTCGCCACCTTGTGTCTGGTCTTCCCAGGTCCCTCCCTCCCCTCCCTGCCTCGCCTGCGCCGCCTTGCCTTCCTTGCGTCGAGGGGCGGCAGCGCGCCGCTCCTCACTCCTCCTCGTTCCCCCCGACAGAGGCTCCTCTGCAGACCCTCCACCTGGACGTGTGGGGCCCAGCCCGCGTTCGTGGCCAGGGCGGTGAGCGGTACTTTTTGCTGGTTGTCGACGACTACTCGCGTTACACCACGGTCTTCCCCTTGCGCACCAAGGGTGAGGTCCCTGCTGTTCTGATCCCTTGGATCCGCACAGTTCGTCTCCAGCTCCGCCGCCGTTTCCGGACGGATCTTCCTGTCCTGCGTCTGCACTCTGACAGAGGTGGTGAGTTTTCCTCCGATCTCTTGAGGACCTTCTGTCAGGCGGAGGGCATCGAGCAGACCTTCACGCTTCCGGACTCCCCACAGCAGAATGGGGTTGCTGAGCGCCGCATTGGCCTGGTCATGGAGGTCGCTCGTACCTCCTTGGTCCACGCGGCGGCTCCCCATTTTCTGTGGCCGTTTGCTGTCCGGTACGCCGCGCATCAGCTCAACCTCTGGCCCCGTGTCTCCTTGCCGGAGACCTCGCCCACACTGCGTTGGACGGGGGAGGTTGGCGATGCGTCGCGCTTCCGGGTGTGGGGTGCTCGTGCCCTTGTCCGCGATACGTCCGCGGACAAGCTCTCCTCCCGCACACTTCCCTGTGTCTTCCTTGGCTTTGTCCCTGACGCGCCTGGCTGGCAGTTTTACCACCCCACCTCGCGCCGGGTCTTCGCCTCTCAGGACGTCACCTTTGACGAGTCGGTCCCTTTTTACCGTCTCTTCCCCTACCGCACTGCCCCCCTCCCTCCCCCGCCGCTGTTCCTTGCTCCTGGTCCCCCTCCGGTAGACCCCCTTCCCCCTCAGGGTCCTGCTCCTTCAGGTGTCTCTCAGGTAGACCCTCCTCCCGTCGCTGAGCCTGTCGAGGTCACAGGTGACTCAGGTGCTGCTGCAGGTGGTGCTGCTGGGAGTGCTGAGTCTGGGGGTGCTGAGCCTGCGGGTGCTGGGCCTGGGAGTGCTGGGACTGCGGGTGCTGGGGCTGAGGGTACTGTGCCTGAGAGTTCGGCGCCTGGGGGTGCTGTGCCTGGGGGTGCTGCGACTGGGAGTGCTGAGCCTGCGTGTGCGGAGTCTGGGGGTACTGCGCCTGCGGGTACTGGGCCTGGGGGTATGCTGAGCCTACGGAGCCTCGGGTTGCTGCGTCTGGGGGTGCTCCGGTTCGGGGTACTGAGCAGTCTCTCACACCGCAGCAGCTTCGTGACTGGTACGTCCGGCGCTTTCGCCGTCCTCGTGGCTCGGCTGGAGCTGGCGGTGCTAGCGGAGTTGGAGCTGCCGACTCTGGGGGTGCTCTTCCTAGCGGTGCTGCGGACCCTGGGGGTGGAGCTGCTGCTGGTGCTGAGGACCCGAGCGGTGGCGCTGCTGCTAGTGCTGAGGACTCGGACGTTGGAGCTGCTGCTGGAGCTGAGGACCCGAGCGGTGGCGCTGCTGCTGGTGCTGAGGACCCGGACGTTGGAGCTCCTGCTGGTACTGAGGACCCGGCCGCTGGAGTCTCTTCTGCTTCTGGAGACGCTGCGCGGCCGCGACCGTACTTCGTACCGCTCCTTCAGCAGGTTCTTGGGCAGGCTCCTCCTCCTTGTCCTCCTCCCTCCGTAGAGTGTCCCCCGCCTGTCCAGCCGCAGTCACAGTTACCGCCTGCCTCGCCTCTCCCTGCTCCCTCTCCTTACACTGGTCCCACAGGAGGTCTTACAGAGCGTCGTGAGCCTGAGTCTCGTCCTGCGTCGCCTGTTCGTCCTGCTCGCACTGCTCGTCGTGTCCGTCGTGAGCGTCCTCCTCCTGTCCCAGGCACTCACTACATGACTCTGCGTCCCTCCACTGCTCCTCAGCGTGTCCCTCTACCGTCTCCTCCTGCGTCCTCTTTGCCTGACGTTCCGGACCCTGAGTCTGACCGGTATCGTGCTGAGCACCCTACTGTCACGCGTCTCCTCGCTACTGTTGTCACTGACCCTACCTTTGAGTCCTCGGCTGCGTCTGCTCTGGTCGCTGAGTTGGTTGACTTTGCTGCTGCCTGTCGTCTAGACTACGCTGCTAGCCTTGTTGCTGAGTCTGAGTCTGCGTCTGTCTGTCCTCCGTCCGTCGGGGGTGAGTGTGCTCTTGGCACGGACGTCCTTGAGGACAGGCAGGAGGACTTTGACTCTCTCGCGGCTGCTGTACCTCATCTCGTGGCCTGGTTGCTTGCCCCTGAGGGAGACCCGGATGCACTAGACATCCCCACTCCGCGCACTTACGCAGAGGCGATCTCGGGTCCCTACTCCTCTCAGTGGCAGACAGCCATGGACGCAGAGATGGCATCCTGGAAGTCCACAGGCACCTACGTCGACGAGGTTCCCCCTCCTGGGGCGAACATCGTCGATGGCATGTGGATTTTCAGGGTGAAGCGGCCACCAGGTTCTCCGCCTGTCTTCAAGGCTCGTTACGTTGCTAGAGGCTTCAGTCAGCGTCAGGGGGTCGACTTCTTCCAGACCTTCTCCCCCACCCCGAAGATGACCACTCTTCGGGTTCTGCTGCACGTTGCTGCTCAGCGTGACTACGAGCTTCACTCTCTTGACTTCAGCACAGCGTTCCTGCAGGGCAGCCTGCACGAGGAGATCTGGCTGCGCCGCCCACCTGGCTTTACTGGGTCGTTTCCTCCTGGTACCCAGTGGAGCCTCCGCCGGCCAGTCTACGGTCTCCGCCAGGCGCCACGTGAGTGGCACGACACACTGAGGACGACACTTGCGGCTCTTGGGTTCGCGCCGTCTTCTGCTGACCCGTCGCTGTTTCTGCGCACAGACACGTCGCTGCCGCCGTTCTACATTCTCGTGTACGTCGACGACTTGGTCTTTGCTACTGCTGACACTGAGGCACTCGCTCGTGTGAAGTCGGAGCTGCAGAAGAGACACACCTGCACTGACCTGGGTGAACTGCGTAGCTACCTTGGCTTGCAGATCACCCGGGACAGAGCTCGCCGCACCATCACCCTGACTCAGTCACACATGGTGCAGCAGGTCCTTCAGCGCTTCGGCTTCCAGTTCTCCTCACCACAGGCCACACCTCTGGCTACCAGCCACTCGCTCTCAGCTCCACCTTCGGACGAGTCCGTAGAGCCGAGTGGCCCATACCCAGAGCTTGTAGGCTGCACGCGACCTGACCTCGCGTACCCTCTTAGCATCCTTGCTCGTTACGTTGCGCCTGGGAGACACAGGCGAGAGCACTGGGAGGCTGCTAAGAGGGTGCTGCGTTACTTGTGCAGTACATCAGGCATGGGGCTGGTGCTTGGAGGACGCGACAGAGTTGTTCTCACTGGTCACTCGGACGCTTCTTGGGTGGATGACCTGGCTACGCAGCGGTCGTCACAGGGTTACACCTTCAGCCTTGGCTCTGGTTCTGTCTCGTGGCGGTCCACCCGCCATTCCTCTGTTCTCGGCTCTAGTTGTGAGGCTGAGATCTACGCCACGGCCATGGCTGCACAGGAGTTACGCTGGCTCACCTACCTGCTGACTGACTTGGGAGAGCGGCCTAGTTCTCCTCCACATCTGTACGGTGACAACAAGGCGGCTCTTGCCTTGTGTCAGGAGCACAGACTGGAGCACAGGACGAAGCACATTGCTCTTCGCTACTTTCTTGCTCGAGAGCTTCAGCAGCGCGGTCAGCTTCGGCTTGTGTACGTGGACTCGAAGGCCAACACTGCTGATATCTTCACCAAGGCGCTCCCGCCTAGTGATCATCAGCGGCACTGTACTTCTTTAGGCCTTGTGTCCACGTTTCCTCACTTGCTCACTGCTTGACAGTCTTTGTACTGTACTTTATATATATCTTGTTGCTTGCTTGCTAGGTATTGATCACTGTGTTACTTGTCTTGTACTATATCTAGCACTGCATGTGAACTGGCCTTGTGGCCTTTGCTTGTGCTCGGAGTGTGGTGACGTTGTGATCCACCCTGGGCTTGCATTGCTTTGCTGGACTGGTCTTGTGACCCTTTGTTCTCCCCCACTTTGCCTATGGGGGTATGTTAAATTGTAATGTGTTATATGTTGGTAGGCTGTAGTGGGGTAGCCAATATGGGGTACAACCCCAACTAGGGTTTGCTACTTGTACCCAACTGTTCCATTCAATGCATTCATTCTTGCCTAGATTCTAACATGGTGACGTTGTGATCCACCCTAAGCTTTCTTTGCTTTGCTTGACTGGTCTTGTGACCCCTTGCTCTCCCCCACTTTGCCTATGGGGGTGTGTCAAATTATATATGTAACATATATGTGTAGGCTGTAGTGGGGTAGCCAATATGGGGTATAGCCCCTTTAGGGTTTCATATTTGTACCCAACTTCTTTCTAGTGATTCTCATTCCTGCCTAGACTTTCTAACATATCGCGCCCTTTTTTTACCGGGGAAAAAGTCTCGCTTTGCGCTCTGCGCTCTGTGTTTCGCGCACATATTGTGCTTGCTAATTTCCATCCTTTTAGTTTTACAAAACAATATTTATCCACACGTTTTAGCGCGGGGAAGAGACGAGCGATTTCGGTCAACCAAACATTTCGATTCGATACCACAGATGTGCCAAGTTTTTGATTCGCCGAGTACCTGAATGTCGCCAGCATCGCTGTGCGAAACGCAAAATATGTCTGGTAACTTCACGCACACGCAATTATGATAGTAGAACGACCTATTCGGAATGCGTGAAATTATGATATATTGAGTGTGTCAGAATAGCTAGGCAGGAATGAGAAACAGGAAAGAGGGGTTTCACTAGCAGGCAGTTGAGTACATATAGCAAACCCTAATTCGGGTTGTACTCGCTATAGAGTACCCCACTGCAGGCTAGACAAACATCACATTCTGACACACCCCCATAGTCAAAGTGGGGTACAATCAACACAACAAGCAGGCAGAGCAATAGTTCACAATGATAATCAAAACTAGAGACAATCACAGAGGGCAGGTGAGGAGGAGGAGAAAATGTGGAGGCAAGAAGATGGGAGGCGACGGCTGAAGCTGCAGACACACGGGCAACAGGAGTGCGTAGCACTGTCGCTACCAGGCTATACCCGGACTACACGGCGACAGGCGCAGCTGGCTCTCTGTGCTCCCAGGAGTGCTCACACTGTGGCTACCAGGCGCAGAGCCCCGGACTACTCAGGCCACAGACGCAGCTGGCTCTCTGGACTACCAGGAGTGCTCACACTGTGGCTACCAGGCGCAGAGCCCCGGACTACTCAGGCCACAGACGCAGCTGGCTCTCTGGACTACAGGCGCTGCGGACGACAAGACGGCTGCCTCCACTCAACTTCCCCCAGCTGTCCCACACCCCTTTCACACACCCCCTGCTGTACCTCTAGCACTGCTCACACGCCACCCCCCTCATACCATTCCGACGGCTCCAACACATCCACCCCCCTCAGCGGCAGCTGCAGCAGTGGGAGACGGAGGAGGAGGAGGAACAGGGGACGGCGCACACACTCGTCACCCCCATACTCGCCACCCCCACACTCGCCACCCCCAAACCCTAACACAGGCAGCAGCCGGGGGGGGGCGGTGCGCGGGCAGTAGCTCGGGGGAGGGCGCGCGGCTCCCCAGAGCGCCTCGACAGGGCAGCGGGGTGTCCGCTCGGGGCGCCGCGACGAGGTAGCGGGGGGCCGCGCGCGGCTCCCGAGGGCGTCGTGACGGGGCAGCGGGGGGCCGCGCGCAACTCCCGAGGGCGTCGCGACGGGGCAGCGGGGTCGCGCGCGGCTCCCCAGGGCGTCGCGACGGGGTAGCGGGGGCGACGCGCGGGCCAGCGGGGCGACGCGACGGGCTCCCGGGGGGGCGACGCGACCGCCAACGGTCGGGGGGGCGGGCGTGCGGGTCGACGGGGCAGAAAACCGCCGCGCGCCCCAAGCGCGCGGCGGGAAGAAAAAAACACCGCCCTGAGCGCGCGGCAGGCAGCAGACATCGCGCGCCCAGGGCGTGCGATAGGCAGAACAGCAGCGGAAGCATCGGGCGGGACCACCCACAGGATCGACCCAGGAGGGTCGACCTGCTCTGATAGCATGTCAGAATAGCTAGGCAGGAATGAGAAACAGGAAAGAGGAGTTTCACTAGCAAGCAGTTGAGTACATATAGCAAACCCTAATTCGGGTTGTACTCGCTATAGAGTACCCCACTGCAGGCTAGACAAACATCACATTCTGACAGAGTGTACTCACATGTCAGACATGCTGCTGTCCGTCGCTCACGCGCTGGCTGTCCCGCGATCAATCTGAAGGGGGATATCGGAAGGAAATTTTCAGGAACCTTCTTGCCGATACCCTCGCATTTAGGGTACACAGGACGTGTACTTGATCTACATTGACAGAGTCAGTAAGAACACTACTCTAAGCCTGGATACAAGATTTCAGGGTTCGCTAAAGTCCTTATCTGAATGGATCAGAGTTCACAAGTCACAAATTCTGAAATGGCAGGGACCACCAAGTGACAAGCCTGTAATCACCCTGAAATCAGGGTAATTACCCTGATGAAATCAGCCCTGGTTATAAGATATGCAATATACTAATTCAACAATCCCCACTGTAAGCCTTCTGACATAAACCACAATCAAAACCAACTGTGCGACACTCAGCTCAGCTCTCTTGAACTTAAGTGTGTACAATAATACAGTATCCAACAATGCTAATGCATATACAGCTTCTGGTTTTGGAAATGGTCATTGATAGTGGACAAGCACCTTGAAGTAGAAGGTGATCTATGATTGGGTAAATAATTTTTGGAACATCGGTGCTTCTAATTCGACAGAGCTCCATCACTAATATGGCGAGCGGAGGACTGGAGGCAGCAGCTCATCGTCCACCTGCAGCAGGATAAGGGTTGCAGGCAACGAGGGATTCATGTGAACAACACAGTCCATGCACAACCAGAGAAGCTTCATCTCCCACAGAGAACAAGCACTACTCGAGCAGAGCGAATGCCACCTTGGTCACATTCACTCACCTCCACCTCCATAGGAAAAGTCCACTGCCGATATCCAATCCCCTTGAATGCACAGACGCCATTCCCTGGAACCTTACCATGTCAGGGCCACCCTCTTGGCCGGGAGGCGCTAGCATCCAGCCCGAGTTGTCAAGGACGGAGGCCATCTTGTCGTACGCTGCACGGAACGGCCCCTCCAAATCCTCCACCTCCGGCAACAGCTGCACGCACCCGCCCATGCCACAACACAACAATGGCCGACACTACAATGTGAGCATCAGCAGATCTGCTGCACGGGACAGCGTTTTAGACGTTGCGAATCAATTCATCCACACCACCAGTAGTGACTCTTGGTATGTGCGCCGCTCTGCCGTTGCTCAATGTGCATGCGCGACAGCATGCGTGAGGGCATGCGTGAGGGCATGCGTGAGGGCATGCGTGAGGGCATGCGTGAGGGCATGCGTGAGGGCATGCGTGAGGGCATGCGTGAGGGCATGCGTGAGGGCATGCGTGAGAGCGAGGCGCACCTGGTGCTCGAGCATGCCCTTGACGATGAGCATGAAGCGCGCGGCGTCCATGTGCCCCTCCGCCACCAGGTACTCGCCCGCCTCGTCCACCTTGCGCTTCATCGCGCTCACCGCCTGAATGTCCTCCGATAGCATCGCGCGCACCGCCTCGTTCGACACCTGCCGCGCATGCGCACGCACCACACACACACCCACATGCAGCACGCACGCACGCACACACGCCCCAAGTTAGGGGACGTACGTGCGCACACACGCACGCACGGCCCAAGCTAGGGGACACAGGGCAGGGAGGACGATCGGACAAATAGAGACAGCATGGGCATGCACGCAGCGGTTTTCTTTCAAAAGGGTGCAACGCGCTGTTCCCCAAAGTGTCTCTATTGTGCCAATTCTCCATCAGAAATACAACAAGCTCAACTCCCACCAATTCCAATTCCCTACTCCACATCAGCTGGCCACACTTACCCCACCAACAACACCGTGCTCCCTCATTCCGCATTCAGTGTCCTCGCTCCTTGCTACTTCCTCTGCCCGCCTCACTGCCCAACCTCAACCCTCCGTCGCTTACAATAGAAAGAAACGACCTTTCATATTTGCCACCGCCACCTAGCAACCACTGCTCGTACCTCGTTTAGCCCAATGCGCACGTCCTCGTCAAGGGCATCCCCGCCGCCTTCAGAGTTTCCCTCCACGCGACGAGCCCTGGCCCTCACGGATCGTGCCTGCACAGCGGCATTGCCGTCTCGCGACAGCCCAGGTGACGTGTCCAGCGCAACAGGTCCGTGCCATGGCCTTGACCTTGCGCCATCGACAAGCGCAACGCGAGTCGCACTCGAGGTGGATCCTTGGATTCTAGAAGCCGCTGTGTGTGCGGGGATCCAGGTGGGGGATCGGAGGGAGAACGCCATGTGCTACGCCGCACAAGCTTCGTGCCAAACGGAGGATGGAGCGGTGAATTGCCAAAATTACAGGCACAGGAGACAGAGACTTGCACTCGCACAACATGATTGAGGGATGGGGGATGTACATGCAAGCATTCACCTGCCACCTCATCAATTGCATCATGGTCTGGCTCCCAAGCAATTTGCTTAGCTGGAAGACAATCAACAAAAAATCGCCACGTAACATGGGTCTCCAAGTTTCAAGGGTACAGAACAATTCAGCATAAACCATCATATTCGACTAGCGTACAGTGACTTTCTTCTCAAATTGCAAGATAACCAATTATTCTCAGTGTGTATATTAACACACATTCTTCCCTCCATCGGGTAAAAAGACCAAAATGTATATATGCCCTGAATTTCATGGCTCATTAAAA